CTTCCATCATGAGCTATTCTGGGGATGTCATTAATTAAATGTTTGCAATGTGTTTTGAAAGCTCCAAATATAAAACACTGCTTGGTGGGGAGATGGAAACCCCTCTTTGGAGTGAGTGGCACTACTTGGGTTCCTGGACAAGCTTCCCCCAGTACTCCCACCACCCCAGTTCGGACGTGGAGCTTTGATGTGGCCTGAAAAGGCCTGAATTTAGTGTCAGCCTGGAGAAAGTGTCAGGCCTATCACTTGTCTGCTGGCTGCAACAGCAGCTTCTAGCTATGATGTCCCTGTGCCTCTCCCCAGCCTGAGCAGTCAAACACCAACTACCCTGGCAGTTTCTTGTTAAGTGACTCCTCCTTGGGGATCCAGAGCTCAGATGAGCACACTATTAATAGAGCTTTACAAAAAAAATGACACTGAAGTGGTTCCTATTGAAAACTGCAGCAATGGAGCCATTTCCCCAGGAAGACATTGATTGCAATGACGTTTTTCACATTGTTTTTTGGAGCAACACAGCCCAGATTGGAGGGTTTTGTTCCATGTGTCTCACTTTGCTTTGACTTTTCTGTTTGCTTTCTGTTCCAGCTTGGCTGCTGTGTTTAGTTTCCATGTTTCATTTCTTTGAGATATGATAATAGACCTTAATATTAGAAGTGATCACTTATTCCAGTGAGTCTCCCAGGTCCTGGCAGAGCTGAGGATCTGGACATCCGGTGGTTTGGACCAGAGAGCTTTGGTGCTTCCACCGTAAACCTGGAATTTCTGAGTAAGTTTCTCTGGGGTGCAAGTGTCACTTTTCAGCCAGCTCTTACTGAAATTGCAGTTTGCTGCACTGTGCCCTTAGTTTAAGGCACTGGAAGCTCCAGATCTAACTGGATCCATGAAGCCGGGATGTTTTCCTGCGGGGCTCACCTGTGTTTGTGTGTTGGCCTCTAGCGGTGGCTGCGATGTGGGGAGGAGCAGAGCCCTGCTCCACAGCCAGCTGGGCACCTGCAGCTCCGGGAGTGGCTTTCAAGGGCTGGAGCTGACATTCTGGGATCAAACACCAGAGACTGTGGAGTGTGGCACCTGAGCAAATGGTACCTCTGGGGGGCAGATGACATCCCAGGTGAGACCCTCCTGCAGGGCTGGGTCCAGTTCTGGGGCTCCCAACATAGTAAGGACATGGAGCTGTTGGAGTGAGTCCAGAGGAGGCCACGGAGATGATCCCAGGGCTGGAGCAGCTCTGCTCTGGAGCCAGGCTGGGAGAGTTGGGGTGTTCAGCCTGGAGAAGAGAAGGCTCCAGGGAGACCTTAGAGCAGCTTCCAGTGCCTGAAGGGGCTCCAGGAAAGCTGGGGAGGGACTTGGGACAAGGGCAGGGAGGGATGGGATGAGGGGTAATGGATGGAGGAGGGAAGATGGAAATTAGAGGTTAGGACGAAAATACTCATTGTGAGGGTGGTGAGACACTGGCCCAGGCTGCCCAGAGAGGTGGGAGAAGCCCGATCCCTGGAAGTGTTCAAAGGCAGGTTGGACGGGGCTCTGAGCAACCTTATCTGGTTGAAGATACTCCTGCTCACTGCAAAGGGGTGTGGAATTAATGGCCTTTAGAGGCCCTTCCAACCTCAGCCATTCACTGATGCTTCATTCCCAGCACGGTGCAGAGCCTTAGCCCCATTCAGGGCTGTTTCCCCCCCTGTACAAGCGACCATTGCTGCAACTCTGCCTCTGGTTGGATGCCAACATGCCCAGAGCTCTCCAGAAGCACATGTGAGTACTTTTAACATGAAAAAAGGTCTGCAAAGCTCAGAATGTATTTTTCTGTGCACAAAAGGATTTATGGTGTTGTCCTGGGAGGAGTCTGGCATGGGCTCATATGCTCACATGAAGCCTGGTAGCTTTATGGCTCCCATGTAACCATGAACTCTTAAACTGTGCTTGTGCTGAAGTGTAGGTGTCACAGCAAGGACATGTCTGCTCCCAGTGACCCCCAGCCAGCCTCACATTTCATTCCTGGCCTACAAGACAGGTGACTTTCTGCCAGAGTCTGCAAGTCCACTCTAACAAACCCCTACCAGGACAGTGAAGGTGCTGATACTACCATACCTGAGGCCCAACCCCATCGACCTGTCAGAGCCTTCGACCTCAGCAGAGCTGCCCTGCAGAGCACCTGAAGGCAGAGGACCCTGAGCTGCTGGTGTAGGAAAGGGCCAGTGCTCGTGCCCTCAAACAGGGGAGCGATGAAGCAGACCTGGATCCAGCTCCAGCACCTTCTGCCCTTCTGCTGGTGCTGTTGGACACAGCCTGTGGCTCTCCTGTGCTGTGCATGGCCCAGAACCCCAGGTTGCATCTCCAAGGTCTGTATAGATGCAAGCTTCACTTGGTACACAACAGGCTGCTGTTCCACATGTGCAGTCTTCATGGAACACCAAAAGCATGTCCTAGCAGGTGTCAAACATCTAATGCTCCCAGTCTCAGAGGATTCAGGAATGTCTGTGACCTGCCAAGAGGGCATCCCCGTTTGGGCCCCCCTTGCCAGCCTTCCCCCCTTCTCATGGCTGCCAGAGCAGGGGCGGGCTGGGTCAGCATTGCCAAGAGACAGGAGACCAGGAGCACAGGAGAGCAGGAGGACCCAACCCTTGGATCCCTGGGGACCCACAGCCAGGGGAGCCGCTTGTGACTGCTGGGGCACTACAGCTCCTCCATCCCACAGCTTTTCCATGGTGCTGGTGCTAAACCTCTGCCCTAGGCTCTCCGCTGTCCCCTCCAAAGCACAGAGTCCAGTAGCTGCCACGTCTTTACACAACACAGTAATGCAGCATTGCTCCCACCACAGGAGCCCACAGCACTCTGCCAATCCCAAGCTGGACACTTCTATATGATGTGCCTGGCACCAGGCTGTGCCTGTAACCACGGTGTGGGGATGCCCACTGCTCACTGCCTCTTCCACCTGAGCTGTACCAGCACCAGGAGCAGCAGAACTGCTAATCCTCCCCAGGACCTCCAGCATCATCTCTCATCAGGTTCCACTGTCAGCCACCTTCTGGAGAGTAGAAGTGCTGAGGCCAGGCAGATTCCCTGAACTGGAAGGGGAGTTCCTCCTGGGAGAGCCTAGCAGGACTAGAGCTGAGGTTCCCTCTCCAAACCCCTGCTCTTGCATATGCCAGCCTTGCCATGGTTTTGGCTTCCTGACCCAGCAGACAGTCCAAAAAGGAAGGTCTTCAAACATGCAGGACACTGAACCAGAGTTCTGGTCCACCTAACACCTCTTCTATCTAGCTGCACACTTCTGCTCCTCTTCATGCAGGGCATGGAGCCACCAGGCTGTCCCATGGCTTTTTGCAAGCATCAACTCCCAGAGTGGAGCAGAGGGGGAGAATCCCCTCTCTCAGCCTGCTGGTCACACTGCTGGGGATGCAGCCCAGGACATGGTTGGATCTTTGTTTCCCTCAGTCCAGGAGCTTGGGGCTGGGAGCAGAGTGGGGGATGCAGGGAAGGAGGGGATGACAGAGGGGCATGGGCAGCAGAGAAAGTTGCTTGCCATCAAACCCAACTGCAACTGAGGCATCATCCCAGTGCTGGGATGGCTGATGGTTACCCAAGCTTAGGTGCCCTGGGTGTCGCACTCTGGGGTGCAAACAGCAGGATCCTTGTTTTGGAAGAGGGAGAAGCTGTTTGGGGAAACACAGGGCCAGTAGGAGGGGGCCAACTCAGTCCCCCACCTGGGACTGTTTCCTCCTTGCAGTAGGTCTTGGGACCTCCTGGTGGTGGGTGCTGTGTCTCCTCACCACACCCCAAGGCAAGGCCCTGGTGGGTAGGACTGTGGGTGCAAACTGGGACGGGGGGCTGCTCTGCCACTGCACCACCTGGTGCTACTGCAGGGCTGAAGGAGGGTTCCCAGGTACTGCTCTTTCTACCCCAGGAAAAAGCTTGTGAAAACATCTGCTTTTTTTTTTTTTTTTTTTTTTTTTAACTCCTCCTTCTGCCCTGCACTTGCAGCTCCATGGCCCAGGCTGCTATTGCCCTTCAGCTGCTGCTCGGCCACCTCTGCTTGCAGGGCAGTGGTGTCTCGTGGGACTGCAAGGACATGATTTCCAGAGCAGCCAGCACCAGCCCTGCCGCCTCCTACCAGCGTGTCAGCTGGACAGGTGGTCTTTCCCTGGCCCTTGGCTCTTGGGAGCCAGCAGGTTCGTAACTTCCAGCTCAGGCTTGATGTCAGAAGCTGGTACTGGAGGATGTTGGAGGAGAGAGGGTGGGGGAAGCCGCCTGGGCCTGGGGGAAGGACCCCCCAGTTCTGCTTTTTCTGCATTTTCTCCAGGATAGGAACGATCATGTCAAACTTGGGGGGCTTGGCGGGGTTTCCCACACTTCCCATCAGCAAATCATCCACTGACAGACTGGTTTGGTTTGGAAGGGACCAGGAGCAGATGCAGGTGAACAGAAGCTGCTGTGTATCAAGGGCTGCAGGGTGCCCAAGGGCACCCCATGGGTGCCTGTGGCTGGGACACAGCTGCCCCTGAGGGAG